CTTCTCAGGGGTGTCCCCTATCTCCTCCTTGGTGAAGACGGTGTTCTCTGTTGCTTCCAAGAAGAGCTCCAGCTCTCTAATTCTTTGGAGCGTAGCTACACGTTCCTCCAGTTGCTGGACTTTGTCTTCTAAGAGGGCAATCAACATACAATTGCTGCAGGTAAAGCTGCCTGCAACCTTTGGCAAGATGGCAAACATTGCGCAGGAACCGCAGGCGACTACAGCTGTTCCCTCCCCCTCCATCTTGAGAACGTGTTGTTAGGGGTGGCTACAGTAGTCCTCCATCTTAAAAAGCGTGAAGACAGGACAAATAACCCCCCCAAAAAAACCCTAGGTCTCCCCCAACAAACGTTTGAGACTAGCTCCCCTAAATCTAAAAGATGGATCAAACTGCGCACGCCGCCAGGCGTGCCTCTCACAGCTAATCACCTGCCTCAACAGAAACCCTGCCCCCTCTGACCTTTGCACAGGGAGAGCAGCTAATCAGCCACAAAGAAACACACACACAAGAAAACCCTTTTGCTCCTCCTTCAGCTGCTGCCCTGCAAGCTCTGATAAGCTCCTCCCACAGCTAATCACCTGACTCAACAGAAACCCTGCCCCCTCTGACCTTTGCACAGGGAGAGCAGCTAATCAGCCACAAAGAAACACACACACAAGAAAACCCTTTTGCTCCTCCTTCAGCTGCTGCCCTGCAAGCTCTGATAAGCTCCTCCCACAGCTAATCACCCGACTCAACAGAAACCCTGCCCCCTCTGACCTTTGCACAGGGAGAGCAGCTAATCAGCTGCTGCCCTGCAAGCTCTCAACTAAGGGACTAGATGACCCTTAGTGTCCCTTCCAACTCTACAATTCTTTGATGCTATGATTCTATGTATACCTCTCCTTGGTGATTTCCCCTTTCTTCCATTTCTTATACATGCCCTTCTTAAATCTAAACTTATCTATAAGCTCCTTATGAAGCCACACTGGTTTCTTTAGATGCCTCCCCCTTTTCTTTCTTATTGTCTTGAAACTTCAGCCGCTCCTTTTTCTTACTCTACTTTCCCCATTGTCTGCTGTTGGCAAGTTCATGGCAAGAGGCCTGCCAGTTCATTCAAGCTGTCTGTCATTTACGAAGGATCTGAATGAACTTGGCTGTGACCCAGCTCTTTAAACCTGCCTCTGAAGATTACTTGCTACTTAGAGATCACTTTAGCGCCATTTCAAATGTTCCATTTCAAACTGAAAACAAAAAGTCAACACATACACGGAACAATATATGTTTGGAAAGAAAGAACAAGCAAAAGAAAGCAGATCTTACCAGCTGATTGCTGCCCCTTATGGTAACTTACTCAGGTTGTGCTGTGAACTGCTACGGTTCCTAAAAGATCATTTAGCAAATGCTTAATGAGAATGATTTGATTGCAGGAATCATCATTCATTTTGCATCTCTTGAAGAGGGAAGATGACTTTGTGTAAGAAATTGAAGGGGCGGGAAGAACCTGCTTTGTGAACAATCACTGATGAAAATATCAACTGATAATCATATCTTTCATAGAGAAAGGTTTCCATTTCAAACCACAAGTCTGCTTGTAAATGTAGCAGAATATTATATACCTGAAACTTATCTCTAATCCCCAAGAAGAATGTAATAATTTAGCACTCTATAATGAGCGGCTTTAGATGCAGCTCTTCCTGAAAAATTCAACTGGACAGGAAGGCACCATTGCCCTTTGCCAAAAGAAAATAAGCTGCAGGGGAAAGCCTCTTTTTGATAAGCTTCTCCTACACTGCAGAATTATTATTATTTTTTAAATATTCCACAATAAACAAAAATCTGCCCAAGCCTCCTTTTGATGGCTTATTTTGAAATCAGTGAGCCAATGGAGAAGGCTTTGAATGCAAGCATGAAGTCTGAACAAAAATCTATTTATTCTGACTAAAATATATTTCTCCCATTTCAGTCAAAGTTCCTGGTTCATTCAACAGTAATTGCCATAGTCAACTACTGAATGAGTAAGAGCCACAGACTAAGAGCCACAAAAGGTGTCCTATATCATGTTCTTTCTTTCTTACTCCTCACTTTCAAGGTGATTTTATTATCTCTCCTAAGCAAAATCAGGTGCGATTACACACCATGGAATGCCCTAGAAAATAACTCTTTTGCACAATGTATTATGCTTCCTCATACTGACTACGCAGGATTGTGGACAGGATTTCTGCCCCTTTAATAATTTGACAGAAGAGGGGGGGAAATCATGCAAGATACTGAAAACTTGTTTGCACTTCAAGAGCCCCAAGCCACCCCCAGGAAAATAAAGACACAAGGACACAGAATTTAGGTTAATGTTAATGGGCAAAATTCAGGCCACAACTTTATTGGTTACAGAATGTGAGCGGTATTGGCTTAGGCATTGGCATCAACAGACTATACCTGACTCCTGCCTGCATTGCAGGAAGTCTGGTAAGGGGAAACCACCAGTAGGGGGAGCCCCGCCGATGCTGATCAACTCGAGCCCCCTTGGGTTCCCACTGGGTCATGGCATGGCTCTAGCCCCTCCCCGGGCTTCAGACAAGATCCACACCCCCAGATTCCTTTAACGGAATACCCTTACACATGGAGCGGCTGGTGATGGCCACCCCCCCTCCCCTACACATCACTATTCCAATGCCTAACCACCAAACCTTACAAAGTTGTGACGATTGCTACGAGGTAGGTGAAAACCAAGTGGCTGGTGCCAATTTGCCAAGTGGAAAAACTCCTACCAGGCCCCTCAACGGTGACCAACCAAAGTCCATAGCAAGGCCAGCGACCCTATCTAGAAGAGGATGGGAGGGCAGGAGATCCACATGTGAGGCTGAAAGAGGAGCTCCCAGAGTTGCGTCACAGTTTAAATTGGCCCTGACCACACCCCCACAGCGCCCTGATTGGTCGCCTGGCAAATGGCATGGCTGGGGCACTCTCAGCGGGACACAGGAACTGATTTAGCTGAGTAGTTAAGAAACTGAGCTGAGATCAAGGCATTTCCCATTTCAAATATGTCCTCATATACAGCTGCCAAGAAATCAGAAAAAAAATTCAAACTTGCTGTTGTGTCAAACTTGCTTCAGCAGCTCCTTAATGAGCAAAATCAGCTGGTGACACTTTCACAGCATGGATGTAAACATAACTTGCTCATGTCTTCACATCTGTCTGCATACCCATCCAGCTATTATTGAAGGCTCAGCTACAGTGGTTTGTTGAAGTTCAAGTTAGCAACCCTACTCGGCTTTGAGCTTACCAGTTGGCATTAGGTAGTCTGCTAATCAATCCTTAACAGCAAGATGTTTATGCTAGGTTGTTTTAAATGCCACTAAGATATGTTTTAAGATCCACTAAGATAAACACTAGCTATCATTATTAAATTGCAGTGCCCCTTCCTTATGCAAATATTCAAATATTTGCAAGTGAAGTGTGACAGTATATTCATCAGTTTCAGCAAGAACTTAAACTCATGTCTGCCACTTGCACAATCGACAGTTCAGAGACGTACCGTATTTTTCGCTCTATAGGACGCACCGGACCATAGGACGCACCAGACCATAGAGGAGGGAGAGCAGGGGAAAAAAAATCTCCCCTCTCTGCTCAGTGCCCCTTCAGCGAAGTGGCAGGAGAAATGGAGCCCCTTCCATTTCTCCTCCCGCTTCGCAGAAGGGGCGCTGCGCAGAGAGGGAAAACTGTGCAGCACCTCTCCAGCAAAGCGAAGCCTGGAGAGCAAGAGGGATCGGTCTGCACCGACCCCTCTCGCTCTCCAGGCTTCAGGCGGCTATCCGCAAGCCTTCAGAGCGGGAACTCCTGCTGCGCTCGGAAGGCTTGCGGATAGCTGCCTGAAGCCCCCAGAGCGCAGCCTTTGAAGCCTCCGCAGAGCAGCAGGGTGAAGGCACCCCGCTGCCTTGCGGAGGCTTTGCGCAGCCATCCCCAAGCTAGAACAGCGAGACAGAGCGCTGCGCAGCGCTCCGTCTCCCTGTTCTGGCTTTGGGCTTAGCCTTGCAGCCTGCATTCGCTCTATAGGACACACACACATTTCCCCTTAATTTTTGGAGGGGAAAAAGTGTGTCCTATAGAGCGAAAAATACGGTAGTTACTCATGTGATGTGAGTGATGTAGCATATGGGAATGGAATTCATGTAAGATCCTACCATCTGCTTCCAAAAGCAAGACAAACGAGAGGCAGAAATCCCTTTTTACAGAGCTAAGTAACAACTGCCTCCTTGTGCATTACATTACTCGTGTGTAGACAAAAAGCACAAGTTTGGACTCATTTATAATAACAAATTAATTGGATCTCAAATGTAAAAAACCTTTAAGAAATCACTTGTTATTTCCAACTTGGGGGGGGGGATCCCTATTAAATTATTGATTACAGTCCATTCATTAAAAATTTAAATGGACTTTAGTTGGATATTTTCTGTTAGACACGGATCCAGAAAGCTTGGAAGCTGTCAAACAGCCAGAAAGCAGGGTGGGGTGCAGAGGTGTAGGAACATTTGTAAAGAAAAAGAAATAGAGACTGAGAAAGTGTCTTAGCTCAATGCCTGCTTTCTTATTACAAACATTTCCATGGTTCCTAGACTTTCAATTGCCTTTTAAGAAGAAAAGGTGAACCCAGTTGCAGAAGCAAAGTGGCAGCTGGGAAAAAGTTAAGCAGCTGAAGTGTAGGTGGGTTCCCACGAGGCAAGACACAGCTATAACAGCAAGAACCTTTACTGAACTACATAACTGGGAAACGGGCAAAGCAACTGCTTATATACATTCCTGAAAGCCTGGGCCACTCCCACCTCCAACGTGATTGGCAGTCTGAACTTCCAAGCTGCAAATCATGACTCAGAGTTCAAGGGCCAATGCCAGAGGCCCAAATTCTGAAATATTCTGTGATTGGACATCATGTATTGAATCAGAACACAGGAGCTCAGAATCCTTAGTCCAGACTCAAGCTCAGGCAAACACAAACCACTGAATACATAACACCCCTCCCCCTTTAGGCATGAACCCTTATCCCCGTCAACACACAGTCATCCAAATGGTGAGGGTGGTGCCTCACCCGCTGGGAGCGGTGGAGCTCACTCCTTTGGGTCATTGGGGATCCTGATGGAGTTGGAGTTGGAGCTGGTGTCGTGGGTGTCACTGGTGTTGTTGCCTCCATGCTATCTGGCGGTGCAGTGTTGGGGTCCCGTTCTTCAGTCCTACTCTGGGCCACAGGGTTCTCCTTGGGTGCATCAGTCTGTGAGCCAAGCTGATAGTTCACCTCGTGGTAGTAGTGACTGGAGCTGGGGCATCAGCCAGGCAGCACCACATTTGGTCCACATGCCGGCGGTGGATCCGACCATCCGCCATGGCAAAAATGTTGTTATCGAAACTTGGGGGGGGGTGATGTTTATATAACAAAATTCATTTAAAAGGAAATTGAAAGGGAAAAGTAAAAGGAGATTTTAAATGAAATTGCAAGAAAAGGAGGAACAATTGTCAAAGAAAGCAAATAAAGATCCAGTCAAACAGACAATTAGAACATTACTAACTCAATACTCTATGATAGTTAATGAGGAAATTAGCTGGAAAATAAAAAGAATGAAACAAAAGTACTTTGAGCATGCCAATATATCAGGAAATCTGCTAGAGGAATTCCATAAATAAAAATTATATAAATGGAAAGATCACAGACAAGATGAGGGAAACTTAGCAGCATTTGTAAAATATTTCTCAGATCTGTATAGAAAACAAAAGGGGGGGGGATTTTAAATAGAAGAATATATTAAAAGTAGTAATTTACCAAAAATAAAAGAGGAACAATTGACGATTCTAAAAACTCAAATAACAGTTCAAGAACTGCTAGAGGCAATAAAGTGGACTAAAAATGGCAAGTCTCCTGACCCAGATGGTTTAATGGCAAAGTATTATAAAAAATTAAGTGAACAATTGGTAAACCCATTGAAAAATGTTATGAATGAGATCTTAAATACAGGTGAAACTCCAGAAACATGGAAAGAGGCTTTGTTGTTGTTGTTTAGTCGTTTAGTCGTGTCTGACTCTTCATGCCCCATGGACCAAAGCACACCAGGCACTCCTGTCTTCCACTGCCTCCCGCAGTTTGGTCAAACTCATGCTGGTAGCTTCGAGAACACTATCCAACCATCTTGTCCTCTGTCGTCCCCTTCTCCTTGCGCCCTCCATCTTTCCCAACACCAGGGTCTTTTCCAGGGAGTCTTCTCCTCTCATGAGGTGGCCAAAGTATTGGAGTCTCAGCTTCACGATCTGTCCTTCCAGTGAGCACTCAGGGCTGATTTCCTTAAGAATGGATAGGTTTGATCTTCTTGCAGTCCATGGGACTCTCAAGAGTCTCCTCCAGCACCATGATTCAAAAGCATCAATTCTTCGGCGATCAGCCTTCTTTATGGTCCAGCTCTCACTTCCATACATCACTACAGGGAAAACCATAGCTTTAACTATACGGACCTTTGTTGGCAAGGTGATGGTCTTTCAACTTTGTGACTGCTGTCACCATCTGCAGTGATCATGGAGCCCAAGAAAGTAAAATCTCTCACTGCCTTCATTTCTCTCCCTTCTATTTGCCAGGAGGTGATGGGACCAGTGGCCATGATCTTCATTTTTTTGATGTTGAGCTTCAGACCATATTTTGCGCTCTCCTCTTTCACCCTCATTAAAAGGTTCTTTAATTCCTCCTACTTTCTGCCATCAAGGTTGTGTCATCTGCATATCTGAGGTTGTTGATATTTCTTCCGGCAATCTTAATTCTGGCTAGGGATTCATCCAGCCCAGCCTTTCGCATGATAAATTCTGCATATAAGTTAAATAAGCAGGGAGACAATATACAGCCTTGTCATACTCCTTTCCCAATTTTGAACCAATCAGTTGTTCCATATCCCATTTTAACTGTAGCTTCTTGTCCCACATAGAGATTTCTCAGGAGACAGATGAGGTGATCAGGCACTCCCATTTCTTTAAGAACTTGCCATAGTTTGCTGTGGTTGACACAGTCAAAGGCTTTTGCATAGTCAATGAAGCAGAAGTAGATGTCTTTCTGGAACTCTCTAGCTTTCTCCATAATCCAGCGCATGTTTGCAATTTGGTCTCTGGTTCCTCTGCCTCTTCGAAATTCAGTTTGCACTTCTGGGAGTTCTCGGTCAACATACTGCTTGAGCCTACCTTGTAGAATTTTAAGCATAACCTTGTAAAGAAAAAAAAGGAACCTTTTACCATATGTGGTAGGAATGTAGAGAAATTTAAAAAATTTGGGAAATGTTGAAGAAAATGTTTAAATTAACATTTGTAAAAAAAGCCAGAAGCATTTTTGTTAGGGATTGTAGCGAAAGACCTGCCAAGGAAAATAAAGAATTTATTTATGCATGCTACAACGGCGACAAGAGTCTTAATAGTGCAATGATGGAAGAATGAGGAAATCCCAACAAAAGAACAGTGGCAAGAGAAATTGATGGATTATGCATAATTTTTAAAAATTAATTTAATGATTTTATATCACAAAAAACACAACCATACCACCACAAAATACAACCGAGAAATAAAAATTGCATACATCAATATTTTGTTTGTTATTTTTTATTTACCATCTTGTTTCCCCCCAAACATCCCATACACACACAAAGAATAATAATAATGAAAATAAATATTTTCCGCCTTTTATCTTACAAAATCTTTTCTTCAATTTTGACATCTTGTCAAGTCCCTTCGCATATGTTTTATCTTACAATTGAATGTACACAAAACAATAAACCTTTCTATATAAATTTTCCAATACATTCAGAAAACATAATAAATCCTTAATTGTTATCCACCTTGTTATGTACTGAGTTGAATAGGATCCAAACTGCAGCAGTCTGATTGGTCCTAGAACAATAGGATCCAAATTGCAGCAGTCTGATTGGTCCTAGAACAATAGGATTCAGAATGCAGCAGTCTGATTGGTCCTAGAACAATGCAGCAGTATGATTGGTTGGCAGGAACCACCCAATCATGCTCCAGATATAAGTGAATCCACAACCTGATTGGCATACAGTAGAATTCCAGAATTAGCCAATCATGTGCAGCCCATTGTGTAAATAATGTATATAAAGCAGATACTTTGAGGGGACTTTCATTCATTCCTCCTCACCACTATGAGCTGAATAAAGAGCATGAAATCACTTTGCGACTCTGAGTATATTTCACACCTCCTTTTACTTCCTTTGTCACTCGAATGTTAACACGGAGTCAAAACTATCATTGTATTTTTGAACATATCTTTTATAACCATCCCATTTTTCCGCAATTTTTTGCAGAATTGGCGAAATTGACATACAAACTGCGAGACAAAGACAACTGTGACTTCAAAGAAGAATGGGAACTTTTTACAACTACTTAAAAAAAAAAATGAATTGACTCCTTGGCAGGTTTCCAATAAACACACACAAATTTATTGCTTGTTAACATAACAGACAGATAATTTAAGGATCTTGACAATTTTACAATATACAGAGAATGATATGTATGGAAAAATCAGAGAGAGGAGCTGAGGAAGAGTGGGTTTTGGGGGGAGGGGAGGGGGGAAATGGGGAAAATAATGAAGATGATATGTTTTCATAATTTGTTATGCTGAAATTCCTAATATTTTTTTTTTTTTTTTTACTTTTTTGGGGGGGATGGGTGTCAGATCACTCAAAATAGAAGAGTGAAAAAGAAAACTCTAGCATCAGTTTATACATTTAGTTCAGGGGTGTTCAAACTTTTTTCAAATAGGGCCAGATTTGATGAAGTGAACATGCCTGAGGGCTGACCATTTTGCCTGACATTCTTTGCACCATTAAAATTAAATGCATATTAACCATTTTATGCAAAGTTTATTGCAAATGGCATACTTTTCATTTTGTCACATGGATGACAAATCTAAACAGGTGTTAAATCACTCTGCCTTTCATATCTGAAGGCCAGATGGGGAAAAAATCCAGGAACCTGAAATATATGTCAGGAACATTGCAAAGTACATTACATATTATTGGTAATAAAGGTTGTCTGTCAACTTTTAAGTTCAAAAAATATGAACAGGAACATAACACCAATCTGGCACAAATCTCTTGGTGAGGGTTGTAAACAAAACAAGAAAAAAATTGTTAAAGGAAGTGTGTGTGTTTGTCTCCCCCTTTTTCTTCCCTCTCTCCTTAAAAGCGCTCTCCTCTCCATTGCTGGGGGAAAGACAGTATACAATGGTACCTCGGGTTACAAACGCTTCAGGTTACAGACTCCGATAACCCAGAAATATTCCCTCAGGTTAAGAACAGAAATCGCGTGGCAGCAGCAGGAGGCCCCATTAGCTAAAGTGGTGCTTCAGGTTAAGAACAGTTTCAGGTTAAGAACAGACCTCTGGAACGAATTAAGTTCTTAACCCGAGGTACCACTGTATATGTGTCTATATGTGTGTGCCACACACACACACACACACACACACACACACACACACACACATATAGTGCCATACCTGATGGGGAGGAGATGTGGGGTGGAGAAGAGTAAGTGATGAGATTAAACGAGAAGTGGGGTGGGGTGGAAGAGAGACGAGAAAACATTGCGCTCCACAAGATTCCAGAGACCCAAAAACCCACCCCTATATGGAAGGGGGGGCTGTTCCACCTCCCCCACCCACCCAATCTCCTTTAGACAGGAACAGTTGCAATGGGACGGGGAGCGCAGGGTGGCAGATACAGAGGGAGGGAGGGAGAGGGTTCAAGTGGGCGGAGGCGCCTTGCACACCCTCCAAACGGGCCAGGCCCGCTGGCCGCACTGAGAGGGAGAGAGCGAGAGAGGCTGCTCCAGCCCTCCTCCTGTGGCTCCGGCGCAACTCTCTCTCTCGCTCGGCCCGCCTCTCCTCCGGCATCTCCTGGGTCTTTCGGCTGAGCCCCTCCCCTCGGCCAGCAGCTCCAGCCGGCGGTTCTGGCGAGCAAAACCCGCGACCAAGCATGCGCCGCCGCCGCCGCCACCAGAAATGCACCAATCGCAGCCTGGCCCGCCTGCCTCTAACCTTCCTTCAAGCAGAGCAGCAGGCAGGCACTTGAGGGCCGCAGCACATTGATTTTTCAAAATTGCGTGGGGGGCTGTTTTAAACCCGGTCGCGGGTCGCAAATGGCCCCCAGGCCGGACTTTGGACATGCCTGCCTTATTGGCTGCAAGGAAGAACTCAAGCTTAGGTCCCATTTCCCCTGAACCGTGGTGTCAAACTCCTCAATGTGGCCCTGGGTGGCCATGACCTCCACTTTGTGTGCTCTGCCTTGTTACTGCAGTCGGTGCTTTCAGCTCAGCTGAGGCAACAGCTCCCCAGCAGTGATTTCAGC